TCAGGTGATGATCTCCCTGCTTGTGAGTTCAAGTCCCACATGAGCTGTCTGCTGTCACACAAAACTCACTTCAGATACTCTGTCCCCATTTCTCTCTGCCCCTCCCCTGTTCTCTCTCTCAAAATTAAACATTAAAAAAAAAAGAAATCAACAATAAAGAGATATCCAGAAAATCCCCTAATATTTGGTAAGTATGCAATACACTACTAAAAAAAGCCCATCATTAAAGAAATCACAAGAGAAATTAAAAATTATTTTGAAGTACACGGTAATGAAAACACTTATCAAAATATGTGAGATATAGGGCTTGGAGGGAAATCTGCAACTTTGTAGTTGAACTTATATTTAAAAAGAAGAAAGGTTAGTGGGGTGCCTGGGTGGCTCAGTTGGTTAAGTGACCAACTTCAGCTCAGGTCATGATCTCGCGGTTCACGCGTTCGAGCCTTCATTGGGCTCTGGGCTGAAAGCTCAGAGCCTGGAGCCTGCTTCAGATTCTGTGTCTCCCTCTCTATCTGCTCCTCCCCAACTTGCACTCTGTCTCTGTCTCTCTCTCTCAAAAATAAATGAAAAACATTTTTAAAAAGAAAAGGAGAAAGGTTTAAAATCGCTGTCACCTTAAGAAGATGAAAAAATAAGACAAAATAAATAGAAGGAAATAATAGAGAGTGGAAATCAATGAAACAGACAACAAAGAAAATCAAACAAACCCAAAGCTAGTTCTGTGAAGAGAGATTAAGGGAAAAATTAAGAGAAAACACAAATAATCCACATCAGGAATAAAAGAGGTAATATCACAACAGATGTTAAAAAGATACTAGGGAATTATTATGAACAAAAATTTTTGCTAAAAGATTCGACAATTTAGATAAAATAAACAAATTCTTTTTAAAACATGTATTAATCAAACCCACACAAAACAAGTAAAAAACCTAAAGAGTCTAATCAATCACTATCTGGTTAAGAAACCAAGTTTTTAATTTGAAATTTTCCACAAAGAAAATTCTAGACAGAGATGGTTTTACTGGTGAATTATATCAAATATTTAAGGAAGGAAGAGTGTTAATTTTTTACTTCATTACTTCAGAAAATGAAGAAAAAGGCAATACTTCCCAAATTATTTTAAATGACCAGTAAAACCCCATTACCAAAAACCTGACAAAAATACTACAAGAAAATTATAGACCAGTATCTCTTAACAAAATGGTATTATATAGAATCCAATAATATACAGAAAAGATAATATGTTAGTTTCCTGAGGGCTTATCTCAGGAATGCGAGGATGTATCATTCAAAACTGAATCACTGTAATTCTCCCACTAACAGCATAAAGAAGAAAACCCAGTCACCTCAGATGCAGAAAAAGCTTATAACAAAATTCAAAACTCATTCGTTCATGATAAAAATAACAACAACAACAAAAAACCTCTTACACTAGATACAGAAGGGATCTTCCTTGGTATTACAGCTAGCATCATACTTAAATGTAACATTATTTAATGTTTCCTCTATAAGAAAAATAACAAGCCAAGGAGGTCTCCTTTCTTACCACTTCTTTTCAAAATTGTAATACAACACTATACTGGAAGATCTAGCCAGTGCATTACAGAAAAAATAGAAATAAAAAGAAAAAAATTAGAAATAAAGGAAAGGAGGGGCGCCTGGGTGGCTTAGTCGGTTAAGCGTCCGACTTTCACTTAGGTCATGATCTCGCGGTCCGTGGGTTCGAGCCCCGCGTCGGGCTCTGTGCTGACTGCCAGCTCAGAGCCTGGAGCCTGTTTCAGTCTGTGACTCCCTCTCTCTCTGACCCTCCCCTGCTCACACTGTCTCTCTCTCTGTCTCCTAGAAATAAATAAAACATTTAAAAAAAAAAAAGAAATAAAGGAAAGGAGTTTCTAGTCACAAACAATAGGATTATAAATGTGGAAAATTCTAAGAAATTAAAAAAAAAAGCTGGAGATACAAAATCACTAACAAGGTTGCAGGATGGCAAAATACAGTATTAATATTAAAAAGTAATTTGTGTTCCTATCTACTAACCAACTATTGGAGAATAACATTTTTAAAAGTATATCAGTACCATTAAAAATATTAAGCATTTAGGATTAAATTTAACAAAATAAATGCAATAACTCTGTACTGAAATCCAAGAAATATTGCTGAAAGTTAAGAGACTTAAATAGATGGATGGTTAAGAATTTTCTCCCAACTGACCTATAGATTCAACAATAAGCCTAAAGTCTATTGTTTTTGGTAGAATCCAACAAGTTAATTCAAAAATTCACACAAAACTGCAAAAGACCTAAAATAGCTAAAGCAATCTTGAAAAAATAATTAGAGAATTTATACTGCCTGATTCAAGCCTTACTATAAAGCTACAGTAACCAAGACAACTTGGTGGCTTAGGGATAGACAACTAGATCAATGAAATAAACTTGGCCCACATATAAGCAGTCAATTGATTTTCAACCAAGGCCCCAGGGCATTTTAATGAAGATAGTCTTTTTAACAAATTGTACTGGAATAGTGCATAAGCATCTGGAAAAAAACTTCTAAATATCTACCTCTACCTCACACATACTGGACAATTAATTCTAGATGGATGATAGACCTAAATATAAAAGCAAAATCTATAAACCTGCTAGAAAAAGGTATGAGAACATCTTTGTGACTTTGGGGTAGGCCAATATTCTTTAAGATATAAAAAAGCGTTAACTATAAATGATAACAAAATGATACACTGGTCTTCATTGAAATTTAAAAAGTCTGCTTATCAAGAAACAATGTTAGGAACATGAAAAAGCAAACCACACCCAGAAAGAAAATATACACCATACACATATCTGATAAAGAACTTCTATCCAGACTACATAAAGAACCCTGCATATAAATAATAAAAAGGAAACAATCCTGAAGTAATCCTTTATTAAATCCTTAATTTTAATCCAATTAAAATGGGGAAAATCTTGAATGCTTTAAAAGTGAAGATACAGAAATAACCAAAATGTACAGGAAAATGTGGCTAATGTCATTAGTCATCAGGCAAGTGTTATTTGAAACCTTCTTGGGATACCACTTCAAGGCAAATAGACTAGCTAAAACTTAAGACAAAACTAAGTATCTGCAAGAATGGGGCAGAATTCGAACTCTCATACATTGTTAGTGGGGCTGTAAAATGCTATAGCCTCCTTGGAAATCACTATGGTAGTTATTATTATTTGGTTATTATATAACATGCTTAGAAATATCCTGTAATCCAGAAATTCCACTCAGGTATTTATCCCAGGGCATATGATAACATACTCTTGTATGAATGTGTTACATGAACGCCTATAGCAACTTTTAACATAATAGCAAAAACTGGAAAACAATCCATATGTCTGTCAGGAGAAGAATGGATAAACACATTGTGGTATAATCATACAATGGACTATTACTCAAAAATTTTAACTACTGACTCAAGTAATGTTTTTTGACCTCTTCAAAATTTATATAAAATTTTTCCTATATTTTATTTTACTTTTCCCTTTTTAACAAATGAAATTTACTACTAGCATTTAGTTGGATTTAGAATGCTTTAGAAATTATTAGAAAAATTAGGCCTGTTTTTAAGAGTTAAGGTCAAGTCACCAATTCTTGTGTATAATAAGTGCCTCATAGAAGAAGAATCCACATGGAAAGGTAAAAGCGTGATTGCAAAAGATTTACCCATGAGTATGTTGCTTCCTGATCTTGGGGATTCTGTGCCTTTTAGTTACACTGTCAACAATGAGGTCTTGATTCTTCAAGTTCTAGACCTCTCTTTTATAATGGAGCTAGGGGAAGGCAGTATCCAAGACAAAGGAAACTTTTTATTAATTTCTGCTTTAAATTGAACATTTTAATTAGGTTCCAAAACAAAATATTATGGAGCAATGAATAAATCTCTAAGGGAGTGGTGCAATGCATAGTGACAACTTGCAAATTTTCTATTACAAAAGAAGCAGACATCCCTCATTATGATGTACTACCTACTGATAAACACAAAAAGACACTCTAGGATAACTTTTAATTAAAAACTAAGCATCTAAGACCAAGAAACATCCCTTAGAGTCACACAGGGTTCTGGGGTATATTATCTATCCAGAGCCTTCTCCTGAGGTCTGTTAACTTGAGCTGCACCCTTCTGCCCGGCTCCCTTGGAGCCCCACACCTACCCACAGCTTGTCTCTGCATCCACTCCCTGGCATCCTTCCACCACGTGGGATACTAACCCTTTCTTCCACGAATAAGCAACCCCAGACATCTAACCACCTAAGATCACAAAGGGATTGGGAGTTAGTCCCAGCTCACTTTTAAAAGATAAGCTTTGAGAAGGGGAGTAGGGATGGGGGTATCTAAATCTGGATGACGCACACACTTAAAAAAAAAATAGAAATTTTATCAGCTCAAAAGAAAATTAATTTTGGGGGGCTGGCAATCTCATCATTACGCATAATTGTGTTCACACATGGCATTGCCTAGCAACAGAAGGAGCAGGCAAATCCCAACATTGGGGTGTAATGAATCACTCACTGACTACTGCTCACAAATGGTAATTTAATAGGAAGATAGTCACATCTGGTTCAATCTCGAACAAGACTTCAGAGAATTCTGCAGACTCCAATTGAAGGAAGCAGCAGGTTCTTCACCAACAGCCAGGCTCCGGAACAAAGGCTATGCCTACTTACTCGGCTGAATGTATGCTTTGTTTAAAAACAAAACAACAAAACAAAACAAAACATAGTTTTGATAGCCTTGTTTTTGTCATTCTGTTTTGGCACTGCTCCAACTTCTATGGCTTCAGATATAGTTAATGAATGCCACAAACACAAGAAGGTAAATATGATAAACAAACAATGGGATGATCATGGTTGGACTACAATCTCTTTAGACCTCAAAGGGACAGCCCAATCTGCCTAAGAATCTGCATGCTACTTCAAACTCCGTGTTTTTGAATAAAGCTATAAAAAGAATCCACGTACGAGCGAGATCTATGTCTGGATCGTCTGTTGTTGGGGTCCGCTTGATTTTTTTCCTTTTGTCTCCTTAATACAGCTTCCCACTGAGGTGCTGAATCAACCATATCATTCTCCTGCCGTATTCTGAAAAGAAAGAACATTCATCTCAAGTTAATATCTACACATGTGGTGCTTTTTTGCTTCATCCTAAAGCAAGTTTATCAAATAAGTTATTGAAAAGTTATTAAGAAATGAAAAGTTATTCAAGGAACAGTTTTATTAAAATCATTTAAAGCTAAGATGTATTAATGGGATTAATATATCCATAAGCAGATAAGCATATACACACATAAATATGTTAGAATATTTATACATAAATTTGTAAGTATATATTAGTTTCATACTTCTATCTTTGGCTTAAAACTTCCAAGAAATAGGCACGTCAAACAAAAAACTCACATAAAACATTTTTAAGATATGACTAAAGAAACCGTAGTGTCTCCTATAGAGCCGATCTAAAATCATGAAACAAAATATTTCTTAAATGTACTAATCAAGTAGCAACAAATAATTTTAGTTTGAAATATTCTTAAAATTTCACACGAATTGTCTAAGTTTTCAATGGATGAAAGGTGCCAGATACAATTCCCATTTTTTTTAATTTTAATTTATTTATTTTTTTTTTTACAAATAGTTTATTGTCAAATTAGTTTCCACATAACACTCAGTGCTCATCCCCACAAGTGTCCTCCTCCATGCCCATCCCCCCTCCCCCCACATCCATCAGTCCTCAGTTTTTGTCAGCATTCAAGAGTCTCTCATGGTTTGCCTCTCTCCTTTTCCCCCACCATTTCCACCCTTCTTCTCCCCCTTGTTCCTCCGTCAAGTTCCTCCTAATCCTCCTATACGTGCACACATATGATATTTGTCCTTCTCTGCCTGACTTATTTCGCTCAGCATAACACCCTCAAGGTCCATCCATGTTGCTACACATGGCCAGATTTCATTGTTTCTCATTGCCATGTAGTATTCCATGGTATAGATAAACCACATCTTCTTGATCCATTCATCTGTTGATGGACACTTAGGCTCTTTCCATGTTTTAGCTATTGTGGAGAGTGCTGCTATGAACATTGGGGTACATGTGCTCCTATGCCTCAGCATTTCTGTATCCCTTGGGTAAATTCCTAGCAGTGCTATTGCTGGGTCATAAGGGAGTTCTATTGTTAGTTTCCTGAGGAACCTCCACACTGTTTTCCAGAGGGGCTGTACCAGTTTACATTCCCACCAACAGTGTAGGAGGGTGCCCGTTTCTCCACATCCTCGCCAGCATCTAGAGTTCTCTGATTTGCTCATTTTAGCCACTCTGACTGGCGTGAGGTGGTATCTCAGTGTGGTTTTGATTTGTATTTCCCTGATGAGGAGGGATGCTGAGCATCGTTTCATGTGTCTGTTGGCCATCTGGATGTCCTCTTTGGAGAAGTGTCTGTTCATGTCTTCTGCCCATTTCTTCACTGGGTTGTTTGTTTTTCGGGCGTGTAGTTTGGTGAGTTCCTTATAGATTCTGGATATTAACCCTTTATCTGATATGTCATTTGCAACTATCTTTTCCCATTCCGTTGGTTGCCTATTAATTTTCTGGGTTGTTTCCTTGGCTGTGCAGAAGCTTTTAATCTTGATGAGGTCCCAACAGTTTATTTTTGCTCTTGATTCCCTTGCTTTTGGGGATGTGTCAAGTAAGAAGTTGCTGCGGTGGAGGTCAAGGAGGTTGTTTCCTGCTTTCTCCTCTAGGGTGTTGATAGTTTCCTGTCTCACGTTCAGGTCCTTTATCCATTTTGAGTTGATTTTTGTGCATGGTGTGAGAAAATGATCTAGTTTCATTCTTCTGCATGTTGCTGTCCAGTTCTCCCAACACCATCTGTTAAAAAGGCTGTCTTTTTTCCATTGGATATTCTTTCCTGCTTTGTCAAAGATCAGTTGGCTGTATACTTTTGGGTCCACTTCTGAGTTCTCAATTCTGTTCCATTGGTCTATGTGTCTGTTTTTGTGCCAATACCATACTGTCTTGAGGATGACAGCTTTGTAGTAGAGGCTAAAGTCTGGGATGGTGATACCTCCCGTTTTGGTTTTATTTTTCAGTATTACTTTGGCTATTCGGGGTCTTTTATGGTTCCATACAAATTTTTGGATAGTTTGTTCTAGTTTTGAGAAGTATGCTGGTGCAATTTTGATTGGAATTGCATACAATTCCCATTTTTAAGATACAAAACTAGAAGTACAAAAAGCCCAAAGGGGTGGCACGATGCATTAGCTGCTATGCAGGCACATGCCATTCTGATGATGGCTGCTCACCTGGTGAAGAGGCAGTGAAGGTTCAACACTCCTGCAGACAGGGGCCAGGCAGGAGATGTAAATAAGGGAAAGGGAAATCCAGGGTGGTGGCTACTGGGGGACACAGGCAGCTGCCATGTGAGATCACGGGACTGTGTTTTTCCAAAGCCTCTGATTCTTTAAAAGATAACCTACAAATCTGGGCTTTTAAAGTGAACTCTTCCAATTTTCAAGTACTGACAACCAATTCTGAACGTTCAAATACTATTTGAACCTAACAACGCCTATCCATGGGCCTACACTGCAGAAGTTTTGGACTTTTGCTGTATCAAGTCTTTCTAACAACAAAGGTGAGGTGTTGCAGGGGACAGGTGGGGAAGAAGCATTAGTTAAAGCAACTCTGTCTGGAATGCATTGCAGTCATGCTGTGGAGCCATGAGTATTCTTTACAAAAATAAAACACCTGTTATTTGAGTATTTAACATATAGTTTTTGTTAGTTCTTCAGGAAGCTGCTCTGGAGTATTGATTTCACACGCTGATGCTCCCAGCGTGTGGGACAGCGGCATGGAACTGTAAGGTCATCATCACAAAACTGTGACTAAATGAGCATAACTGCTTCAAAAAAAATAAGAAGGACAGACAAGTCTGGAGACATTTCCCTCTCTGAACAGATGTCTTTTGGTTGCCCATCGAATTGCATATCTAGATTTGCTTATAAATGCAGATCAGTGGATGGGTGACAAATATTCATTTCACAAATAAGTTAAAAACAATGTAAAGCAAATTCAAGTTAAAAAGTAAAGTACCTTATGAAGAAGAAACTACTTAAATCTCTCTAGATTAAAGAGAAATTGTGTTAGGTAAAAAATTATCTGTAAAACACTTCAAGCCTTTGAACTGTGTTTCCTCACTAAAGCTTTCATTTCTAATAGGCTGTTTATGAAAATTAACAGGTTACAGTGATAGCATGTTTCAGATTCAGAAACAGTTCTCTCTCCCACAGCATGTACATAGGAAATTAAAATTGAATATACATTGCTATAGACCTTAATATTAGAAATAACTGGGGCGCCTGGGTGGCTTAGTCGGTTAAGCGTCCGACTTTCGCTCAGGTCATGATCTCGCGGTTCGTTGGTTTGAGCCCCGCGTCGGGCTCTGTGCTGACTGCCAGCTCAGAGCCTGGAGCCTGTTTCAGTCTGTGACTCCCTCTCTCTCTGACCCTCCCCTGCTCACGCTGTCTCTCTCTCTCTCTCCTAGAAATAAAGCATTAAAAAAATATTAGAAATAACTAGGGGCACCTGGGTGGCTCAGTCAGTTAAGCATCTGACTCTTGATTTCGATGATCTCACAGGTAGTGAGTTCGAGCCCTATAGTGGGCTCTGTGCTAAAAGTGTGGAGCCTGCTTGGGATCCTCTCTCTCCCTGCCTCTCCCCCCACTCTGTCTCTCTCTCACTAAATAAATAAACATTAAAAAAAATAGATCCAAAGAAAAATATGAGAAGGTATACTACTTGAGGTCATAATTATTAGTCATTCTTTGAAACAAACATTCCCACTTGAAAATGCCACATGCGTATACATATATGTATTTTCATAGCCAGAACCTACAATCGCTGAGCCATTCTATGTTATTATGTATCATGTGACAGTCTAGTGGGGGAGCAGTCCTTGGACACTCCTAGGACATGAGGGACCCTGAGTTAGGAAGAGACATGCAATGGGAAATGTCAGGCTGCCAGGAGTTACCTCCCCTCCTACAGGAACCTACACCTCAAACGGCCCAGGAAAGTACATAAGACCCAGGTCTACTAAATCCTAACCCTGGAGTCTTTTAGACCACAGCTTCCATTCTGAGCCAACTTGCTGCACAGTTCATGGGCAGGACTAAATTTCACAATGTTAAATTTTTTTCATCAGGAAGTCAGCATCTTTTAACATTTTTCAGAGGTCAAGCCTACCAGCATGGCAAACATACTTTACCCAGAGGATAGACATTTAAAAGGAAGCACAATTACTACACTCTCATTCTCTTCCAGTATGTACTTTTAGCCAGTTACCTTCATATAGAGACTTTACTCTGATAATTAAAATAAAAATTATAAAACTAAGGCATGACCACACATAGTTCCAATACCATGCTAGTAATGAAAACTAAATCAGAAAGAATGTTTTTCTAATAGAAGACTCTAAAGAGAGGGCAGAAAAACCCTGTCAGGTAACATTCACATGTTTCAGAGACAGATGCCCTCTACTGGTGATACTATCTCATAAATATTCTAACAAGGTGCATTAAAAATGTAAGGCTCATTGGAGAGTCACAACAGAAGCACATTTTCCCGAGTAATGGGGTTGTGTGGCTGCCTAAGTCTGTAATGAAGTTTGAAATTACACCCTTACAAAAGGTCTCTGGTTAATGGTGCCTCATTACAAGAATGAAAGTGTCATTTCTTCCATCCCTGAAGTGCTCCAGAAAACACAGGTGCAATGTGGAAAGGAAAAATCCTAGACCTTAAAGCAAGAATATTATAATGCCCAATCCTTAAAAGGCAGGAGTGAACTATTTTGTGCATGAGAGAATAAAGAAATAGACATTTGGGTGAAAGACATTCCCTAGGATTCTGGCTTGTCTCATTTATCCCTAGGTATGGGATCTACCAGTGTTGCTTTTCTGTTCCTCTCCTGCTATATTTTAATTTTGATGTAGAGATATAGATTTTGAAGAATAAAAACACTGCAAGCACTGTATTGCCATAATACCTTTTAAAAAGTCAAAATGTTCTCTTATAGGACAGGCAGGCATGAGAGTCTCAG